AAGCATAGCAAAGGGTGTGTTATCTGATTCATTTACAGAAATATTTCTTAATATATTTTCAATGAAGTATTCAATGCTCTGAATTCTTTCAACTAGATTTGGTTGCCCCCTATTTCCAGGAACATCCAGCCTTTCTTCTAAGTAATGATTACTCACAGTGCTCTCTGACTTTCCAGGACTTTCTGGAATTGCAGAAACACTTGAGGAAGAAAAGTAAAACAGATGGAGAAAGTAACTAAACACAATAGACCCCATTCCCCAGAACACTTTATAATCCTGACTCAACCCTAGAATTTGCGTGAGACATCTCCACAAATATCCGGGCTTCAGCTCAACCTTTGAGGACCCTGGCAGCCTATAGTCACGCATCGCTTGTCACACTGATGCCGTAGACCGTGCAGCTGGCAAGGCAGGTGTGGCAAGAGTCTTCCTTTCTTTTTTCTGACCTTCTGTTTTTTACAAGAGTGATGTTTCTTTCCAAGGAATGGCCCCTCCTTAAAACTTGCCCATAATATATGTGACAGTTTCACCATCCTTACCTCTAAGGAACACTCTGGCTGTACTTTCTTAAGCCATGTCTGTTTGTTCTTTTGTCAGTACATGTGATATTCAATACACCAACAACATAACTAAAAGGAATTGACTGTACAACTTTCAGATGCATAACAAGTAACTGAAAGGATCATGGCTTGAATTAGGTGCACTTAGTTTTTAAACTGACATCATTGCTCCCTAGCATCATGAGGACAGATTTTCCAAATGCACCACATCTTTTAATTTCCTGACTGCCCTTATCATGGTTGCTGATTGTGGCTCCAAGTAAGATAAAATCATTGACAACATCAGTATTCTATTGTGCCCTAGTGGTAAGGAGCTGTACTTGCCAGCCCTAAGGTGTGTTGTTCTAATCTACCAGCTGCTCCAAGGGAGAAATGAACAATCTCTTCCCATTCCATTTACAACCTCTGAAAATCCACTGGGAGGTCAACAATAGCTCAGTTCACACTGGATGGTGGGTAACAACAACAACAACAACAACATAATGTTGCTGATTGGTCCAGGGGTGAGAATTTTTTTGTCTTCTTGATGTTAAGAGGTAACTTCCTGAAAATATGATCTGAAACAAAATCAGTTGGAATCAGTTCCTGGGGCATGACTACTCATGACTACCCACGAGCTGACTTTCCGAAGGAGGAAGTAAAGCTATTTACTACAAAGGAGAACAGAACCAGAGGCTATTGCTACACAACATATACATAACATTCCATAATAATAGATTTCTTGAAGCTTTTATGTCCATCTGGAAGATGCAGCTGGGTGCACACTTGAATGTCACCACCCCTCCTATAGGGATCATTTCCCAGAATTCTTTGTTCCAATAAACATGAAGCCCTTTGTCACCTAAGTCTTTGTAAGCCCAAACAATTCTTTTCTATGATGAGTCATGGATTAGCTTTGTTGCTTCCTTTTATGACTCTTACTTTGCAAAGCGTTTTTCCTAGTAAACTTTTTCCTCTGTGCACTTAGAAAAACCTTGATTCTTATTATGCTGTTTTACTCAGCAGAAGGAAGAACTCAAACTTTAGGAGTACAGCAGAGACCATTTTTTGGCCACTCTATTAAGGGGAACATGGTTGTATTTGGACACTGAGTGGTCTTTGTAAGTCAAAGTGGACTCAGTGGTACTCCTCTGGAATGTATGAATCCTTTGTCTGAGATATTGATTGATCTATAAAGAAGCAAATCAAGCCAGAGCATCCCTGGAAGACACAAGCATCTAAGAACTCTGTGGAAGTTCTAGAAGGCCTGTGGGCACTTGCGTTCCTAAACTGTGTGTTCAGAGGCCCTGTACATGTCTTTTTAGAAGGCCTAATTGCCTGAGAAACACTTGTACTTTTTTCTCTTGATGATTAAGACTGAGAGAAATGGAAACAGCCAGCCTTGGACATAGATCTGCTTCTCACTCACAGTACTTGCACGAAAAGTTCATGTGAAGATTGCATTTTATTTTTCTGTAAACATAAAAATGCCTGGGATAGTCTTTGCATCTCCCCTTCAAGTAAAAGTGGACACCTACAGACAGACCCCTTCACAGGCAGGTAGTGACTGATCAGCTTGAGTGGGCCTGGATTAAAGACACGGTAGTGCTTTTTGACTTGGCTGAATGGCATCCAAAGAGTCCCTTTTCCATTCTGGGTTCCATTTTGCTCTGAACCAGGGGTGATGGTTCAGGTTCTTTTACCCTCCACCCCTACTGATGTGGTTGTTAAGTAGCATGCTATTGGAATTGGTTCATAGTTGACCCTCCAGTGGGTTTTTAGAGCTAGTAACTCGCAAAAGAGGAAACTGTCCATTTTCCTCTCACAGTTCGTAGGGTTAGTACGAGTTGCCTACAAGTCAATGGCACTTAACAACAAAACCAACATAGAGAGAGATCACTCGGCCTAGTGGAAAGAAAGTAATGCTACCAAGACAAAGGTGGATGACTTCTAATCCCCAACCCTCAGGTCTGTTTTTCATTGTTTTTGTTCAAACATTCTTCTAGGTCGTATAGCCCTGGTGTGTCCACTTGCCGCACAGAGGTAACTTGTGGCTACAGTGAAGCTGAACACCGTGACACTTATGTGTCAAATACTTTGATGGTTACTCATAGCGGACAGTGTTTGGTGGAGCTCCCTGATTAAAGAAGCTTGGAAGCAGGGTGGCATCCACTTCCATAATAGCTTGCCTCCAGAAACCCTATGAACCTGGAGAAAGGATGAAAGTCACACAAGTGTTGAGGACTTTCATTCACAGGCTTGCTATGAGTTGCCTACGATTCAATTGGCACTTAACAACAACAGAGCAGATGGTGCATTCAAACTGATTGCCTTTGGGTTGGCAGTGCAACTCCTTACACTAAGCCACCAGAGCTCCCCCCACCCCAACTGAAGAGTTCCCTAGCTCAGGAAGGTCCTCAAAGATAAAATGAATTCCAAAGAGATGAGGGACACACAGCAGAGAATCCTCATTCCTTGGTTCTTCATTTCTTTTTTTTTCTCTGTAAATGTTTATTTTTATTTTTTAATTAAATTTTATTAGTTTTAATGAACGTTTACAGAGATTTTGGGTTTTCATTCATTCATTGTTGCACTGTTTTCTCCACCCTCATCCCCAGTTCTTTCTTCTTTCCCCTCCCCCCATGTCTGTTTTAATTGTCCAATTGCCACAGTGCTTGTCAAAGCCAGTTCTGATTAATCTCCTTTGTCAGTGTG